GCTGGCCGTCGCTTCTCCCGCGTCTTCTTCGGCTAGAGAAGAGAGAGAAGAAAAAAAAAACTGAAATCCGTTTTTCAGAAAACGAAAACGTGAAAATGAAAACGTATTTTTTCGTTTTCAGTTTTTCACAAAAAGACAAAAACGTTTTTATTTTTGTTTTCTAACACAAACTTTGCCAAACGCGTTTTTCATTTCTATTTTTAATTTTTATTTCAAAAAACGTGAAAAATGAAAACAAAAAAGGTAACAAATAGGCCCATCATGTTTTTCTATTTATAGGATGATTTAAGAATTGTACTTATTATTAATTTGTCGGCAGACACTTCTTGTTGAAATGGATTTGATTATCATATTTTTCTATTTATAGGATGATTTAAGAATCGAACGGATTTGCTTTTTCCTTAGTTTGACAATTATACACGTGATTTTGTATTTTTGTATTTTTTTTTTTTTTTGAAATTACAATCATAGATTTTATTGCGCACGTTTAGAGGAGCATGCTATTTTACACCTGCAATAGCAGCAGTGGCTTTTAACCATTGAATTTATTTTTTAACCATTATATTTGTATAAATTCGTATTAAAAATATATAACGTATTAAAAAAAATTATCTAATAATAAAAATAACGTTTTCATCAATAGAATATATTATAAAGTAAAATAGTATGTTTTATCGTAAAGACTCCTTAAATTAAACTAAAAAAGTTGGTGGGGTAATATTTGGAAATTTAAGAAAATTGAATTAGGCCAACTTGTTTGATGTTCGTGGCATTTCATTTTCCAATCTAAGAATTTAGTAGGACTTCATGGCGTTTTTTTTTTGCACTATCAAATTCTAAGTCAGTTTGTGTTTGTGGTTCATGTTTAATAGTAGAAACTTCAATGTGAAGCGCAAATAAAAGGTTGAATGAAGGAGACAGCTGGCAGGGCCAGCTTAAAGAACTTTGGGGCCTTCGACAAACCTTTTTACGGTGCCATTTTATAGATTGAAAAACATCTAAATTATGTTGAGTTATATTGTTATAATATTATTTTTTAAAAAATTTAAATTTTTTTATTAAAGTTTTTTCGCATACGTAACTTAAGTCATACCTCAATCAATGCATGCAAAAAAACAAGCACTAAGTCTTTAAATTTATTTACAAAATTGAAAAATTCAATTAAATATTTTAAAAATTTTAATTAAATCTTTTAAAAATTTAATTTTCCCGTAGTTTTTAGATGCAAAATTATTAATTAGATTTAGTTTGGGTTTTATTTTCATCTCATCTGCATTTCTTTTGGCTGAAATTATAACAGATACAACCTTATCTACATATGATCTTCAAAATAAGATAGACAACCTTTTAATTAAATGTTTTAGCTTCATATCTTTTTTCTCCTTTTTGTCTTTATTTCTTTCATCTTTTTTTTTTCTTTTTTTTTTTCTCTCATGACTTGTATAATTGTTCCTTTAAATGAGTCACTTGTGCGCGTTTTCAACTAGTTTTTTTTTCTTTTTTTTTTAAAGGAAAGAAAAGGAGACCTTTTTGTCAATGAAGTCACCCCAGAGCCTAGTTTGGGTTGTCGGATGAGGATCAGAAGGAAGCATTGGAGCTTTGTCATTCCAAACCTCATCGATGTACGGAACAATTATGAGAGATTCAGAAATGGGTTTTCCTTTGTGAATCGAAACTTGGAGACAAAGTGAGGAAAAAAAAAACACAAAAAAGAAAAAGAGGCAAGTGCGGATAGCACTACCTAAGTGCCCGGCCATTTGGGAGGAGAAAATATAATCCAAGATGACCTCTAATGTTAATACTAATTATATATTTAACATTAAAAAGTATGATATGATATGTTATTTTTATTTTAGTTTTAATGCATAAAATTATTTAAAATGTTAAATCTATTTTTCTTGTAATTATTAAACTTTAAAAGTTATAAAAGTGAAATTTTTTTTTTTTTAAATATAAAAGTTGTAATAATTACGTGAAAAGTAAACATTTCAACTAATAACAATTAAATGTCAAATTTTACATATGCTATATTTGTAAGAAATTTATCATAAAGTATAGTATATGAGAGATTTAATACAACAAATAACATTACACTGAAGTTATAGCATTGTATTGGAGATCCTCTAAGAACATTATTATATGTAAGTCAAAGGCCTAAGTACAAGCTCATATCTTAGAGCACTATGTATGAAATTTTGGTCACCTGCTATTTTCTAAATATTCTATGTAGTGGGGTTAAAAATGGAGAATTTATCTTTAAAAGTGTACAAGTCTAGATCCTTACCTCTAAGTCTTGATAAATATGCTTTTGTTAGTGTAATTATTTAACTAAACATGTTATAAATCAAAAATAAAATGTAAAAATTTTGATTCATGCATTTTTTAAATTGTATTTGTTAAGATTACTCACCTTCCATCAGCATTTATGGCCCAAACCAGCCCTCTCCTCAACGTTTTCGGCTTCTCAAAAGTAACCCAAAATATTGCAAACAAATCCTCATGTGAAGTGTCTACCCGTTCACTTCGTTGATTCAAGTTTAGAATTCGAGTTTTTCTACAGTAAAAAGCTCTAACAAACAATCACATCTAACTTTTTTGCTATAGTAAAAACCTCTCACATAAAATCACATCTCAACTCGAATTCTAAACTCGAATCAGCGAAGGTTTCGTTCACTTCACTGATTCGAGTTTAGAATTTGAGTTTTTCTACAGTAAAAAACTCTCACAAACAATCACATCTAACTTTTTTGCTACAGTAAAAAGCTCTCACATAAAATCACATCTCAACTCGAATCAGTGAAGTGAACGGGAGTGAACGAATATGTAATAAAGGCATGAATTCAAATTCGCTAATTCTCACAACCTAGAAAAACAAAGGTTTTCCTCCTTTTCCCTTAAATTCCCAGCCGTATATAAGTTCAAAATTTTGGCTTAAAATGTCGCAAATTAACCCTTCCAACCACAAGCTCATATCTATGCATATACTAAGAATGACGTGGAAGTGGCCAGAACCTATAACGTAGTTGCAGGCCGTCAGATTTCCATAGCTAATAACCAAAACGCATATATATGATTTAATTCCTGAGCTACTTATTCTTTCGCATCGTCTTCGTTCGTTAGTTAACTGAATTAGACTCAGGATAGAATGAATCAAACCCTTAAGTCTGTTTGATCAGCTCAAGAAGCTGGGTCATTACAACGGGTGCTTACAGGTACCCACTCCGAATAAGGCAGTATGAGGATTATTAAATGAGAATGAGGACAGCTATGAGGTTTAAACTGTCCCCGAAATGGGGGCGGGAGAAGTACCTCTATCCCACCCTAGCCCGATTTACACATACATATATTTTTAAAAATATTTTTCATACAAATATATATTATATGTGTTGCAATAGTACCTAAAAAGTATGCGATTAAAAGAGTTTAAAAGTATTTTGCTATTTTACCATCTTAAAAAACCCTACTAATTCATAAATTCTTATTATGAATAGCAATTTAAAGTGCGTTTATCAAACTGTAAAAGAATGTAATGAAAAAAATAATAGAATTGGAAAGAAAAGTAAATTATTATGATTAACCGGTCATTGATTCCCTCTCAAGTGTTTACTTGACTATTAGATAGTGTAATGGAATGAAAGATAATCTTATTCCATTTCATATGTTGACTAAACTTAGGAATAATAATGTTTAGAAGGTAATCACTACAAATGCCTTTTTACACAAGTAAATAGTCTTTAACTATATACTAATTCATTAAGAACAGATAAATAAATTAAATATTCATTTCTTTTAACAAGAAACCAATACTAACAAGTGTGTGTGCAATGATTGGAATTCTCTTTACTCATTCCCTTATTGTATGAGGTCACTAAATCTTCATTCCCGATTTTATAAGTACAGTAGTAGATGGGAATGATAATCACTCCTCATTTTTCCTTTTCTTTTGATGCAAAGTAAACATGCACTAAATCTTACCTATACATATGACTCTATTCTTGAGATCTTCAAAAGATAAACAAATTAGAACAATAATGTTCCTATCGTTTTTGTTTTTGACCTGTAGACCTATTCAACTATGATAGACTAATTTGATTCATTTTTCCCGCGAAAACATATAATCTCTTTTCTAATGGATTCTTTTCCGAACAACGCATTAAAAAAATCCCAACGGAGAAAACAAAAACAAAGGCAAACAAGACAAAGAAAACGTGCATAACTTTAGTTTCAATGAAATCCCTTGAAGCAATAAACTAACATGGAATCATCATTGTTCTCACTCTCTTTCTTCCCTTGAAGCGATCAACAAACATGGAATCAACATTGCTCTCTCAACATGGAACAAACAATGCTCTCTATTTCCTTCACTTCCTCTACTCAATGCCAAACTTCTTCCGCAGTTGAATAACAAACTCGAAGATCTTCTTCTCGTCCGGAAGAGATTTGTAGACGCTCTCCTTCTCCATGCACCTCTTGGCCCATGCTATGAGCCTGGGGCACTCCTCCTCGATGCTGAAGTTGCCAAATGTCTCGTAGGCGTAAAACCAGCTGTAGAATGCCACGAGGGAGACGTCTACATACCCAAAGGACTCTCCCCCAAAGTATGGCTTGTCTCCGAGCTCCACTTCAAACAGCCTCAGAGTTTCCATGAATTCCTTCTTGGCTGCCTCTTGCTCTTCTCCTTTTGTGGCCCATACCCTCCTACCACTACTAAACACCTGTGATTTCAAGCTACATTTTCATCAATTCCGGCATCTGAAATTGATCAAATGCAAAAATAAGTAGCTTCAGTTCAAGTATCGATTTTCTGATGAAGCTTTTAAACAACAACTATATATATCAAGTTCTGTTCAACAAATTAAAAAGAAACACTATTTCTGAAACATTAAGGTATGACAATTCAAATATGTCTTTTTAAAGGAAAATTTCATTCGAAGGAAGACAAAAATACAAATAATATTAGAGAATGTGAATGACCCTGCAATACAAGACATAACTCTCAATCGAGACTAGTTCTACCAGCACAATTTGATAATGCTTAATGGGTAATATGTATGCCAGAGGCCCGAAAATGGGAAGCCCCTCAGCACACAAGAACGAACTCACATAACGCTCCTTGTTACAATGCCACAATATTCTACAAACTAAATATGAGTAAATTTTGAACCTGGATATACTGTAAACTGCATATGGTACTTTATTTTCTGAGAATTTAAATGCATTTAATTAATGTACTTGTTTCAATCATTCTAAGAATCAAAGCCTGGAAAATCAGGTTTATTACAGCTTAATTTAAGGTCAACAACTAAAACCTCAAGGAAATTGTAGTACTGTTGAGAATTGAAACCTTAAAATATAAATAAACTCATAACGTTCTTTCAAGAGACAAAAAAAAAAAAAGTAAATTTTTTTTCCTAATTAAATCATCAAAATCTATATATAAAGACAAAAGTCGAGAAAGAGAGAGAGAGAGCAGTGTTCTGACATTTTGGTCAACAAAGTGAGCCCAGAATCTTGCTTGGGATCTCTGATAAGGATCAGAACAAAAAAAAAAAAAGTAAATTTTTTTTCCTAATTAAATCATCAAAATCTATATATAAAGACAAAAGTCGAGAAAGAGAGAGAGAGAGAGCAGTGTTCTGACATTTTGGTCAACAAAGTGAGCCCAGAATCTTGCTTGGGATCTCTGATCAGGATCAGAAGGAAGAAGCAACGGAGCTCTGTCGTGATTCCAAACATCGTCGATGTAGTGGACAATGTTGAGAGATTCAGAAATGGGTCTTCCGTTGTGAATGAGAACTGGGATTTTCTTGTGAATCGGATTCATCTGAAGAAGAAGTGGGCTTTTGTTTCTCAGATCCTCTTCTCTGTGTTCGTACTTGATGCCCTTTTCGGCCAGGGCTACTCTCACTCTAATGCCGAGCATGCTCGGCCAGAAGTCCAACAGCGTTACCTCGCTCGCCATTGCGGCTTTTTCTCGAACACTTGGTCGGCAGTTTTTTTTTTTAGAAAGACAATGACTAGTGATCATTTATTATTTATTGAGAAAATTTGATAAAAGAGACCGGAGAAAATTAAAATTTGAGGAAATAGGCCAGTTTTTTTTTATAACAAAAAAAAGATGATGTGTATCTTACGTGGTAAAAAATGGGTCTTATTAGTCCTAGGTCATTTTTTTGAAATCTCATTTCCTCACAAAACCAACCGCCGCTAGACCCTCTCTTCCCCCCGAAACCGACCGCTCGACCATCTCTCCCCCGACTGAGCTCTCTCACGACCGACCACCGGTTTTTCTCTCCGATCACCTCTCGCCGACTGCCGGCTTTTCTCTCCGATCAGTAACTTGAGTTTGTATTTGATCGTGTTCATCAAAAACCGACTCCGTTCCCACTAAAACCAACCAAAAACCGACCCCGACCACTCACCAAATTCCCGAACACAAAAACCGACCACCTGCTCACTAAAATCCGACTAAAATGGCATAAAAAACCAGCTCTTCTTTCTCAACTAAAACGGTCATTTCCCGAACAGTTGTCGACGAGGCAACGGAATCTGCCGAGGTAATATTCTTGTTTTACTTTTTCTTATATATTTTTGCAAGAACACAAACTTAATATAAGCAACATTGGTCTGTTCATAGTCGGTTCTTAGTCGGTTTTGGTTCTGGTCTGTTCTCAGTCGGTTCTAGGTCGGTTTTGAGTCGTTTCTGGTGATCGGTTCTTAGTCGGTTCTTGTCGAATATGGTCGGTTCTGGTCGGTTCTGGTCGAATACGGTCGGTTCTGGTCGGTTCTTAGTGAGGTCGGTTCTGGTCGGTTCAGGTCGGTGTTGGTCGGTTCTGTTCGATTTTGGTCAGTTCTGTTCGGTTTTGGTCGGTTCTGTCTGTTAGGTCGGTTCTGCGGGGATTTTGGGTCGGGTCATGGTCGGTTCAGTCGGTTCTTGTTGGTTTCTTAGTCTATTCTAGACGGTTCTGTCATTTTGGTCGGTTCTGACCGGTGTGTTTTTTCTTCTTTTTCAGTATGACCTCCCAAAGTACAACACGACATTTTATTTCGATGTATGAAAATATGATATATTTTGGAGTATTGACACAATATCTGCTTTTGAGGCGAATAGAAACAAAAAAGAAACATGAGTTGTGGTTCATGATTAATGGAACCACAACTCGGTTTGGAATGAGAGAATTTACATTAATTACTGGATTGAACTGCGGGGAAACTCCAGAGCCGAACGTGATCTTGAAAGCTTCGAAGAATAGAAGATTATTGGAGCATTTTAAGTCCCACGTAGTAATTGTTGCTGATTTAAGAAAATTGCTCACAGGGAAGAAGATAAAAGGTAGCGATAAAGCAAAGATCGCTATCATTTATTTTTTAGCACAAGTATTATTATCTGGGGACGAGAAGAAGACCGTCCCACTGGATTGGCTGTCTTACGTTGACGATTTAGAATTCTTCAACAGCTATCCAT